CTCTGTGCTCAGCTCTTACAGAGGAAGGACTTCCTGTGCATAAAAATGGTGAATCCAGAGCTTTTAAAACTGATTTGGAAAGTCTGCTTTGGAAGTGAGGAGGGTTTTTAATGATTTTTCAGAAGAAAATGGAGGTAGATAATGGGAAGGTTTATAGGAAAAGTCATAGAAAAAGTATCTAGGTGTAGGTTTAATCTCCTACACACTGGAGGAGATTTAGCATTTGTTCATCGGGTTTGGCATTCCGAAGGACTAGGGAAGCAAAGCATTAGGCAGGGTCCATTTTGCAGCCTTTTGCTTTCTAATCTCCTTATGGAAGGCAGTGTAAAATCAATCCTGACAGACGAATGAGAGTTGGTGGAGTCTAAATTCTATTTCCCAAAGCCAGAGAATTCATAATAATGGTGGAGTTTTTTTTTTTTAATTCAAATGGAGAGTGTATCCTCAGAACACAAGGCAGCAATTGTTTTTTAAAGCGGTTATTATTTCCTAGAGAGACTGGTTAACTGTAACGTAGATGTAACAAAATAATGAGGCGAATGAACCCTAACTGTACATACTCTTGACAGAAATGAAATGCACACAGCATCATAGCAGGTGAAGTGAAGCATTGTCTATCAGGGCTGTTTTTCTTGGCTGCATCTCAGATTGTGTGGGGGGATCCTAACCTCAGGCACAATAGCATTCATAAACAGCCATACATTGCTGCTCTTTCTCCAACGACACATAAATACTCATTTTAAAACGAAAACAATCTTATTAAATACCATTCATTCATATCTGGATTTACAGATGCTTGTTATGTTGGAAAAACCTGAACCCAATATAATCCTTGCATCCTGAGAAAGACAGAAAGGAAATAGTGGGTTAGAACATTACAAGGTCATAATAAACAATGGTTTCTAAAGGCACAGAATTAGTTACTTTTATTCTGTAATTGGACATTTTGAGGATCATGATATTGTCACTTCTTTTCCTTTAACAAACATTAAAAAGAAGTTATATATATTTTTAAGGGGTGGGAAGATTAGAGGGTTGTTATTAAAAATAATTTTTATGGGACTAACCAAAGGCTATATGGATTTTGGCTTTCTCTGTTGTAACCAATGTGTATTTTCTAAAACACATGGTGATTATTGGACAGGTCACATATTTATATACTAACAGCAGTGATTATCTTTGAATTAAGTCAAATGAGGATACCTAGTTGAATTATAAAAATGCTTGCTAGGCTATGCTAATTACCACACCCAATTTTTATGGAAACACAATGCTCCTTCATTACCTCTTCTATTCTCCAACAGCCTTTGAAAATCACTATCCAACCCATTCCTCCCCAAAATCGAATATTAATATAATTTGAGTTCTTGATGGAACTACCATCAGGACTGCAATGCCCCGCAGCTGAAATAATATTTAAAATAGAAGGGATTTGACATTTGAGAAGTCAGTGGCTTGAAATACCCAGTTGTACTTAGCTAATTCAGTCCTTAACCTCTGGTTTCAAATAAATCAATTACAGTCGATTCCACTTCAGTTCAGAAGTGCACAGGGTTTTAGTTAATTGAATACATTTTATTCACTTGCTAGGAATATTCATTTATCAAAATTCCAAATTTAATGTACATTTCTTTACAACTCAGATTATGTTAGACTGCACAATCAGATCAAATTTGCCCTGGTTTCCCCCAACTCCTGCTTAAAATCTAAATTTCACCACTCTTTATGAAACGATGTTTGCCATTCCTTTCTCGATCAAAAGTAAATTCATAATAATTCCATGCCAGGCAGGAGAGCTGTTTTCCCCCACAAAGAAAAAAAATCATGTGGTCATCATCCTTGCGTTAACTTTAAATAGGTTAAGAACAGAGCTGGATTAATTAAGTTTTTAAAAAGTATTGACCTGAAATTTAAAAAAAATTACGCATGGTTTCCATTAGAGCTTAACTTGGCTGCAGCTGACAGGTATGACAACATTTTAAAGCCGCAGGCCCCTTTTCTTAACCCCCTCTCTTCCTCTGTCTCCCCCGCCCCTCTGGCTTTTGGAGAAGTGCTTGAATAAATAGTGAATTGTTAACTGAAAGCAGTATGGTTAAATGTGCCCAAATGAAGTTGTGCTTTAAACAGATATTGATGTATGCAGTGTTTTATATTTATTGTTTGTAGCATCCTGCTGGCAGCAGTTTACTGTTTGGAAAGGAAAGGGGTTAATTAGCGTCATTATCAATCACTAATGCTTGCCTAACGTGTCCAAAGAATAATCAAGTTAGAGGACGGCATGAAGCCAACAGCTGCTTCATCCCAGTTACAGATCTCCTCCTAAGCCACTCAGTTATGGGGTGGAGGGGGTGGGGGGGGGATGAAGTGAGGGGAAGACTCGTCATTGCTTGGGTAAAAGGGCTATAAAAATCAGGTCAACTCACTAGAGATTCAAGAGGCAGAAAGTACAACATAAATAACAGTATTTTCATTCTATGAGTTACAGGTGCAGAGATGGCACTGATCCTGAGGCAAGAGTACTAACATTTGTCCTTTAATTGGCTTGATGATCCAAGTTGGGCATTTGAAGAAACACATCCGTCTTTCCCTATTGCTTTGTGCTATGTGGTAAAAAAACAACAACAACAAAAAAACAACCTAAAATGCAAGA